TTTATTATGCAAATCGATTTTCATTTATAATTGAAAAATGTCAATCATGTCAAAATTTATATGAATCTAATAAAAACCCAATTTTCAAAAAATTATAAAAAGGGCTGTTTTAATAGATAACACCCCATATATAGGCTGCAAATATATGAATTATTATTATTATTTTTTTTTAAATATTAAGGTGACCAATTTGGGTCTGGCACGGTTTATTAACTTCTCAGTTTAATTATTAGAATGTCGAATAGGTACCTCTTGACTTTGTTATATCAATAAGAATACAATTGGTCATACGTATAACTTTAGTCATTGTCTAATTAAGGGCTCTACTATATCTATTTCTATCTATAGTTACTTACCAATTGCCATACCTAGGATCTGCTTGTGGATCCTCTATTTAAACTCTCCGATTGATTTAGCACTGTCAGATGCTTTCTCTAAAAGAATTTTTGCTACTAAGACCCCTTAGGACTACAAATATATAAATTATATACTTCAAATATAATAACTAAATAAACAATATTATATGATTTTAGTATAAATTTTTGATTTCTCTATAGTACTTGTATTAAAAAAGATATTTTTTTCTTATATAGTTTTTACTTAAATATACTAATTATATAAATTTAGAATAGAAACTAGTTTAGATAGTAGTATATAATTTTTATCAAGCCTAATACAGGCTTATAATAGTAATTATCCTCAGCAAATTGATTTTTATTTTTTTATTTATTTTTTCTTCTTTCTTTTTTTTTATATGTTTTTTTATTATTAATTGTTGTCAACAGTATCAAAACTTAAATAAATATAAATCACTATCAATATTATTAAAAAAAATTAATAATTTATATTTATAATTTTAAAATATTATTATACTGATCTTAAAATTTAAGAAATATTAAATTTGTATTACTACAAAATATATTACAAATATTTATATATCAGTTAGAGCAGTATCATTTATTATCTGATTTTTTTTATCAGAAGCTTACCCCTCTTCTCCCTCTTAATATAAAAAAAAATCAGATTCTTATATATAATTTTAACTTTTTTATCTCTCCCCCCTAAAAAATTACCTGATTTTTGTCACATCTCTTATCTGATTTGTTATATGTAAAATTTTTAATATAAATCAAATAATTAATACATCTAAATTTTATATATAAAATTTAAACAAATTTTGCTTTCTAGATTTATTTAGTAATAAAGAAATATTCAGTTTAATTTCTAGATAGCAGTTTGCAAATTTTCTTGTATTTAAAGAATTTTTCTATAAAATTTAAAAGATAGTTAAAAATAAAATAAAGAAATATCATTGTTACAAAGTTAATTTTTACTATTTGTTTATATATAATAATAAGTAATATATATTATTTATTTAAAATAGACAATAAAAAAATATCTAATAAATTTATTTAATTAACATTTTCTTATTATCTATTTTGAATAAATAATATATATCACTTATTATTACATATAAACAAATAGTAAAAATTGTAAAAAAATTAGCCAACTTCATGATAATGATATTTCTTTATCCTATTTTTTAAATTTTATAAAAAGATTCTTTAGATATAAGAAAATTTGTAAACTGCTGCTCAGAAATTAAACTAAATATTTCTTTATTACTAAATAAATCTAAAAAGCAAAATTTGTCCAAATTTTATATATAAAATTTGAATATATCAATTATTTGACTTTATATTAAAATTATATATATATGATCTATATAACAAATTGTGTAACTAATATTTGTTATTATTAGATTCTTAATCAAGAGTTTCTGATATTTGTTAATTTGATTTGAAAAATAAATAATACCAATTATTTTGGTAAAAAATATATCAACTTTTTAGAGAATTAAACTAAATTGTCTACTTTTTACAAAAATTTTCTCAAAATCAAGTAGTGGATCAATATAAATATCTTTTAGATTGTAAATCAATACAGGCAAATTTGGCTATATTAATACTATAAATATGCTATTGATCTATTTTTTTAATAATTTAGAATATAATCTATATATTAAAATTTTTAAGCATCAATGCATGTATCTATTATTATACAAACAATCTATCAATCAGTTATACAATCTCTTGAATCAATTAGGTCAATGATCTCAAATATAAACGCAGCAACATATGTATGTACATATATATCTGTATCTATTTGTTACATAATTTTATGAATTCTATGAATTTTCTAAGTAAATTATCCTAAATATAGTGGCTTAGCAAAATTTGATAAAATTTTAATATTAATATTTAAATATAATACGATTTATACAAGTAATCATTTAAGACTTCACAAAAATAAATACACGAAATATCTACACATTGTTTATATTATGTAATATTATACAATGTCCCCAAATTTGAAACAACAATTCATCTTATTTCTTTTTTTCAGTGTGTTTTTAATATTAATTAACTATAACTTGAATATGTATGTAGAAGATTTTATAACCTGATTTGATTAATTTTATTGCATCAAGGTTATATAAGGTTATAATTACGAATTATTAATTTAAATTTGTTTTCTATTTCCAATTTATTTAGTATATTTAGTAAACGTAAAAAATAAAGTATGACAGTTTTCAAAAAAAAAAAATTAAGCGATGTTTGAATATTAAGTAAAATTGTTTTTGTAAAATTAAATTTGTAATTAAAGTTTCACACAATTCTTATCTTTCAAATATGTGATATCAAACAGTATTATATATAGAACTCTGATTACTATATAAAAGATTTTTTTTAAAACTAAATAGGAAAAATAGTATGACATGACTTTAATTTAAATAATTGCAAATAACTAATTTAGTAAATATCTGTAAATATGCTCTATTATTAAATACAATTATATATTAAATTAAATTAAATTAAGAGCTTATATAGATATATCATTTAATAAAAATATGTATGCCTACCAAGTAAATATACTTAAGTAAGCCAAATTCAATAATAAATGTATAGCTAACTCTTTTTAAATGTATTTATTTCAAATAGTTTCTAAATACAACTTTAAATTCTAGCTAAAGTATAAGTTTTATCTTTATAAATACAATTATTATTTATTTTATTTGCTTTCTTAGTACTAAAGGCCTGATTTTATTGAAATACACCTAGAAAGAGTTAGCTGTTTATAAGCTCTGCTTCATTTAATATACTAGCATCAAATTTATTAAGAAAGCTTAATTTTAAAAGTTGCTGGGAAATTAAAAAAAATATAGATAAAGCTTTTTTTTTATTTTTGTTATTTGTTATACTGACTATAGATCATTGATGCTTATCACACTTTGACAATAAAATATGTATATAGCTAGAAATATAGTTCTTATATTTGTTACATAGTATATACTTGCTAGCAGACAAATTAGTAATCAATTCTAACGATTACATGCATTATAAATATCTCTAAAATAAATTGCTCAACCTGTTTATAATTTTTTCATATCTGTTTATACAATAATTTACATTATTAAAAATAGATTCAAATACTGATACTTCAAACAAAACCTTTCGTGAATGCAAAAATTATCTAGAGCATGAAAGATACACAAAACATATAGTGCATGTTAAAAAAAAAAATACTGTTTTTGAATCTTCAGAAAGCCCTTGAGACTGAAAAAACTGTTTAGCAAAAGAAGCCTATATTTACCACTGTGAAAATAAAACTACTGAAGAAGAAGAACAGTATAGAAATCTTCAAAGACAAGTTTATGCTTGCTGTATTGCAAGTAAAACTATTGAAGAAGCTAAGCAACATAGAAGTTCTCAAAGACAAGCATATGCTCGACGATATATAGATGACAATACTAAGCAAGTTGATTTATATAGAAAAAACAAAATAAAGCCAAATAAACTAGCTCTAATACTGCACATAGCAAAACTTATGACTTAACTGCTATACTACCAAATAACAGTAAATGTATGAATGTTTGTTGCCCTGAATACAAAGCACTGCATTGGTTAGAAGAGAAAGTCACTAAAACAAAAAATTATTAATTTTTAGTATTTGCTATACAAAAAGCAAGGTATAACTGCCTGAAATTTCTTCACTATCTTTACTTTTGAGTGCTCTTTTGACTGAAGAAAATGCACAAGTACGTGATTTTTAAAAAAAAATTCACATATATAATGTTTCACTTGCATTCACTTCAATTGGTACCAAAATTAACAATCATATTACTAGAACACAAGATGTCTATAGTTTTTGAATTTACAGAGAACTTTACTATTATATTAGATCTCTTATCTCTAAGAATTGAGTTTCTTCATTATTCAGTTAAATTTATATATTTGATACAAATGAATAGCTTCAGATACAACAAGAATTTATGCTAAATCTTAATCCAATAACGTTTGCATAACTTCAATCGATATTGCTTAAAGTTAATCTATATGTACATGTCTTTCAAAATGCTATATGTATTATAAAAGAAAACTCTGCTTAAGATTTAAAGATAGTTATAACTAATTCACGACAGGAACTTCAGTATACAATACTTACTGCATCAAAAATAGCTGTTTTTATGGTCGCAAATAGTCAAGAATTTGAACTGTCAAATCGAGATATTGTTTTACACAATTGTGGTGATGGATTCCAGTATATATTTGAAATTCATCAAATCTACAGCCCATTTCATTATGTTTTGCTGTTTTTACATAGTGAATTTGGATAGCATCCTAGCATTAATTTAAAAGACAAACCAGAAATATCTATAACAACAGAAGATTTAGTTAATGCAAACGAAGATAATTCTACAAACAAAACTACAAATAATAATAACAATGCAAATAAGAAAAATGTTTCAAATACTAGAAGGCATATATCGATAATGCAATATTATACATATTGCTTATAGCTATAAATTCATGAACACAATAAATTGTTTGCGTTAAACAGGTCCAATCATCTTTTTTGACAATATATTGTTGATGCTTATGCATATATTGAGCAAAGCAAATTAAATTATTTGAAATTTAACCAGAAAACAATTTGTGCTGAGCTGTATAGTAGGCTTCAAGATGTACTATCAATAAATGATGAACTACCTCCTGAACTTTGAATTAACTATCGAATAATACTTCTATCAAGCTTTATTGAAGGTCCAATTGTATCAGAATGCAATAACTATAGTTGAACAGTTAGGCAAACCAGATCTTTTTATAACAATAACCTGTAACTCAAAATAGCCTAAAATTCAAGCAGAATTATTGTTAGGTCAAACTGCTTAAGATCGTCCAAACCTTTGTACAAGAGTATTTTGGTTAAAAAACTGCATTACTTAATAATATTCTAAAAAAAAAATTTTTGGACGCTTATTTGGATATATTTATATCATTGAAGCATAGATACATAGCTTGCTATATACTTATATATTGTTTGTACTAGTACTAGAAGACAAGCCTCATACTACAGAAGATTACGATCGTATAGTGTCAGCTGAACTTCCAGATCCTTTCAAGTACTCTGAAGAGTATGAAATAGTAAACAAATGTATGATACATGGACCTTACGAGCTAAGCAATAGGAATACTCTATGTATGCAAGATGAAAAGTATTCAAAGATATATCCAAAAAGTTTTCAGTTAGTAACCTTCCAAAATGATGATAGATATCTAATTTACAAGCATCGTAATGATAAATATATAGTACAAATAAAAGGAGTTCTACTTAATAATCACTAGATAATATCGCATAATCTGTTTCTTTGCAAAAGATATCAATACCATATCAATGTAGAAATTTGCTCTTCTATTCATACTATTAAATACCTGTTCAAGTATGTGTATAAGAGCTATGATAGAGCAACCATAGCAATTAATAACACTAGCAGAATAGAAACATCAACTTCAGATTTAGTTAGTGAAACTAATAAAATTAAACAATATATTGATGCATGATATGTATTAGCATCTGAGGCTTTTTGAAGAATAATGTACTACAAAATATATAATGAATCATCTGATATTATATATTTAGTCATACATCTTCCTAGACAACATATAGTCATTTTTTCTGACAATGACTCTCTTATTGCTATAATTTAACAAGCACAGAATGAAAAACAATATTAATAGTATAGTTTGAAGCTAACAAAAATCTAATTCTTACCAAATTAGCAAGTCAATATATATACACACAATTTTCTACTGCATTTGTTTTTAACAAAAAAATAGCAACTGCGAGTTCGAGACAATTCTATCGATCATATGTACTATATTTATTTCTAAGCAGGAGAGCACTTTTATTTGTGACTATTATTGAGTGTTGTATATGGAGCATGATTATTCAATCATCTGAGAACTGTTAATGGATTTATATATGATACTTTCAAAAATGCCTGCTAAGCATTAGGGCTATTACAAGATGATTTTGAATGGGATCGTTGTCTAGAAAAAGCTACTAAAATACATTCTAGATACCAGTTTCATCATTTATTCATGACAATTTTAATTAACTTCCAACCTAATAAGCCCGAACGCCTGTGAACAAAACATATTAGTTCATTTACTGATAATATATTATATTAGGTATAGCAACAGTCACAAAATCCTGAACTACAACTTACAGATTGTGAAGTTAAAAATGAAGCATTGCAATGATTAGAAAATATTCTCTTAAAGCAAAATAAGACACTAAAAGATTTTCTAAATATGCACTGTCTAGAGTCAGTATGTGAATTTAAAAATAGCTTGATAAATGAGGAATTGAATTATAATACATATGCCTTTAATGAATTCATTAAACTAAACACAAACCATTTAAATAATAATCATTAAGCTATCTTTGATAAAGTAATACAGATAGTGAAAAGCAATAATCTCTCTTGCTTTTTTATAGATAGACTAGCTAGAACTAGTGAAACTTTCTTTTATAATATTTTTTTGGCAAAAATTCATTTCTATAGAAATATTGCTCTAGCAGTTGCTTCTTTAGAAATTGTGGTTTTACTGCTCGACAGAGATCATACCATATATTCTAGATTTAAAATCTCTATTGATCCTGATGAAGATTCAACCTGCAATATTTCTGTATATACTGAGCTAGCCAATCTTATAAGACAAGCAATGCTTATCATTTGAAATGAAGCATCGATAATACATCACCATGTATTTGAAGCTATTAATCATACTTTAAGTGATATTATGAGTGCAGTTAATTAATACTTTGGAAGCTTACTATTTGGTGGCAAAGTGTTCATTTGGGGGTATCCATAAATAATGTTATGTACCTCTACATAGTAACTCTTGACCCCCTCTAAACTATATAAAAAAATTTTAAAAATCTATATATTTATATATAAATTTTTACAAAATCTTGATTATCTTGTGACCCAATAATCCAAATTAGATAAATTTGGTACTATTAGATTAGTCTTAATGAGAGGAATTCAATGGTACTAAAATTATTTAATTTGGATTACTGGATCAAAAGATATAGGCAAAAAATTGTTAATTTTATAGTAATTTCATATAAAATCATATAGCCAATAGTTTTTTGCCAATATCTTTTGATCCAGTAATCCAAATTAAATAATTTTGGTACCATTGGATTCCTCTCACTGAGACGAATCCAATGGTACCAAATTCATCCAATTTGGACCATTGGGTCACGAGATATTAATATTTTTATAAAAAGATTAGGTTATTTTTTTTTGACCCTCTCTAACTTAGCAAAAAACATAAAAAAATATTATTTTTGTGAAACCCCCTCCCCTCCTCTTGTATAATGTTATTTATGGATGCCTCCTTTTTGGTGGCAATTTTTGTCAAATTTTTCTAGTAGTTCAAAAAGAGGGCTGTGAGGATATCATTAATGCTAGTTTTTGTTGCTTATATTTATAGCAGTATATCAAAATAAGAAAATTAGCAATTAATATGCAATTATATACTGCAATAAATTCTTTAAATGCTTCAGAAGTTGTTATACAAAGAGATTTTGCAAATTGGCTACTAATAATTGGTGAAGAACAAATAGCTAAAATCGTGCCAAATAGCAGTTACATATAATTACCAGAAAGTATTGCTATGTATAACGAGTCTTATCAGAACTTAATCAATTTTGTTTACCCTATCTTGCAGATGAATGTATTTAACTCAAGTTTATTGCAGAACAAAGTATTCTGGTACTATGTAATTCTGAAATTCTTTCGCAATTTTCAGAAGAAGCAAAAACATATTTTAGTACAGATTCTTTAGATCTAAGTGCTTCTATATACAATTCAGTCTAGGAAGATATATATTCAAGTGACTTTCTTAATTTATTAATGCTTAGTAGTTAGCTACTTTATGCATTAACCTTGAAAGTAGGAGCTCTAATTATTTTACTTCAGAATATCGATACAAATGAAAGTCTTTGTAATAGTACAAGATTTATTTGCAAAACACTACAAAATAATGTTATTGAAGCTAAACATATTAATGAACCATTCAAAGGAAAAAGAGTTTGTTACTACAGATCAAACTATTCTTAACAAATGCTTCTATGCTATTTGTCTTTAAACAACATTAATTTCTGTATCAACTTGCCTTTGCTATATCTATTCACAAATCCCAAAAGCAAACAATAAATTGTGCTGAATTGTATCTTTCCAAGCTAGTTTTTTCATATGGACAGTTGTATGTTGGATGTTTGTGCATAACTACTTATTAGTCATTACGAATTTTTCTTGAACCAGCTAATTCAGAATTATTAAACTGCACTAAGAATATAATTTATCTAAAAATATTTCAAAGAAGTGTTTCTACAATAACCAGATAGCCTTGAATTTCTAACTATCACTACTTTATATTGTACGAATTTAGAAATCAATTCTTATTATACATTTAGTTTAAAAAGAATTTTAATATACTGTAAATATATATGATTAATATGTATATATTTATAAAATAAATATTTATTATATTAGAAAACACTTATTATAAATCATATTATTAGTATTAAACATTATATACTTTTTTTTTTTTGTTATCAATATTTAATTTTAAGGTTAAAAATTATAATAAAATTAAAAGCTACATATATACTAAAATTAAAGATAAAAATAAAGTTGTGGTAAGTTTTTTTTAAATATTAAACATTTTTACTTCATATAAATTCATTCTTGGTAGATGTGGCGACATAGCAAAGTGGTCAAGTTGTCACTCCTCTAAGCAGCAGGTTAAGAGTTCGAATTCTACTGATGATGAAAATTTAAAAATTCTGCTTGTATTATGGCTAACTATATTTGTTTGATTAGTTGGGATAGGATACCTGTAACTATGGTCACACCAGCAAGACTAGAAGGTCTGGGATATTTGTATAACATAATGTTATACAAAAAGATGCAAACCGATATTAGGGCAGTACAAACACAAGATAAGCCTTGGGCCGTATAAATCTAGAGAACTGTGAATATGAAAGCCACTTGGCAAGTCCCGAGTAGAAAAGTAGCACAGATCTTTGACAGAGCTACTGTAAAGGTTAGACCCAGGAAATCGAACCCGATAAACTGAACTGGATAGAATATGAGGTATTAGAGATGTGCCTACACTAACCAGACTACTACAATAGAAAAAAGACCCTAGGAACCGAGATGAAGGAGCTGCGATGCATGTGGCTTAGCAGCAAGATAAAAAGTCCACTAAGGTTTAGGATACCTGTCTAAAGCAAAAGAAAAGTGCACAGTTACTGGGCCATCTAGATTGGAAGTCTGAGAACCAGGGTTGGGGCCCTGCTATTGGACGAAAAAGGAAATGCCTACACCAACTAGATCACTATCAAACTTGAAAGAAAATAAGTGACACATATCGGGCTATCTGGATTGGAAGTCTGGGTAAAAGAAACTGGGTTACTAAAATACTGGGGATATACTGTGAAGTAAGTTCTTGGGTTTGAGTAAACTCTACAAGAGCAGAAGTAGGTTTGGGTAACGGAGTTTAGCCGAAAACTGGGTTTAAATCGTAGAAAGGAAGCAAGAGAAAGTTTAAGCTGGGGAATCAACTGTAAACAAAGATCTTGACCAAGCACCACACACTCCCAGAATAGGGAAAACTGAACCGCAAGTGGTGGACCACGGTCTGTGCATATCAAACTGAAGTGCAAGCTAGGTACAGTATAAAGTGAGAATACTGCAGGCTCTGCTAGGTTTACCTCGAGAATAAAGTAGTCCTAAGTTGGTATATGTGAAATAGTATATCAAGAAGAACTAGTTTCTGAAAAACCGGAGAAAAGGTGCCAATTAATATGGATCTCAGAGTATATAGGTGCAGAGGGTTTAAATAGGTAACCCCCTAGTTGGGTTGCAAATACGGCAAATAGTATAGAATCTAGAAATAGACAGACTATTTAAATAGGCACTCAAAAGATGCAAGTATAGCTAAATGTACTCTCCAAATATATATAATGATATCCTAACTCAATAAAATATAACACGACCAAGAGGTCACCTTAATATCAAAAAAAAAAAATCTATTCTTGGTTAGATAAACAGTTTTTGAGAAATAGCAACTATGATGTTAAACACCGCTGGTATTATTTAACAATTTTGTAAAAAAAATATATACTTTTATTATTTTAAAAAATATTATATTTGCTCAATATCCTAATAGTATATTTAGTCATAACAAGTTTGAAATTTTTTCGTTCTATATTCAAAAAACTTGACAGGCAAGAATTTTTTGGTTTAAAGTAGCTAACCAGTAAAACAAAACTTAATTAAACAAAAGTATTAACCAAAAGTTATCATTATATTAATTTTCATATGATATATAATAATATGAATTGATTGTAATTACCTCATGATTATTAATAAAACTGACTAGCAATACAAAAATTAAATAAAAGCTTATAATTTGCTTTACTCATATTACATTACTATTACTTGTATTTGTTTTAAATTTTTAGTATATATGTACTATAATCTATATTTATAATATGCTATATCAATATATAGTTTATTAAGTATAAAATAAATAAAATCTAGTTTATATTCAACTCTTTCCAACGATCTTTTGGACAACATAACAAAAAACTAAACTACAGAAAAACGCTATAGGAAGGTTCAAGAATATACTATTTGCAGTCTTAACTTTGAGTAAACAGTTGTCAATGAAGCCTGTAAATGTAAAATACCAAGAAGTGAATATAACTTGAGCAGTTTTTCTTAAGTTCAAATCTTTGCTTTGGTGAATTCATCAAGATATTTGCATCTAAACCAGAAGGTTTATTCTGAGAACTGAATTTATCTTTGATCAGGTTGCTGTCGACGAAGCTTGAAAGATATGAAATATTGAGAAGTGGGTATAACTTAAATAGTTTTTCTTGAAGTCAAGCTTTCTTGTACTGATGGACTCCTCAAGATATTTGGAATCCAAACTAGAAGGTTTATTCTAGAAGTAAGTAGTAGAATAGTCCTTGCTGCAATAGTATAAGCTTGAAGATACAACTATACGACTATAAAACTTACAGAAACACCTCATATACTCATATTAGCCTTCACTGTTTTTTTTCAGAGAAAATTTTATAAAAAGTAGGTAATTTATCTTACCTCTTCAAAAGATCAACATATTGTTTATTTACCAAATCGAGTAGTATTGTTTATATTATTATTCGTCACAACAAA